CCAGCAGTTGATATGTGCAGACATGGCTCTGTCATACACAGGTAACTGGCTCCCATAAAAAATCAATCAACACAAAAATACCAACCAATCAATCAATCAGTCAGTCAGTCAATCAATCAATCAATCAATCAATAATTGACAGAAGGAAAAGCCAGATGATTATAAGCTAAATTTTATTAAAGCCAAAATGATATTTAGCATCCCATTCGGGATTTAGCATCCCATTCCCATCCCATTGGGATTTAGCAACCCATTCATTCATTCATTCATAGCCTGCCTTGTCTTGTCTTTAAAGTGGTGTACATATAATCATTTGAAGCGTATTGTATGTTTTATACACAGCGAAAATAGCCTGTATTTGACCGAAATTCAAGCAAGCTGACTATAGTGTGGTGAATGTTTGATTGTCAATCAATTGGATGCTAAATATCATTTTGGCTTTAATAAGATTTTCTCAATAAATAGGCAAGAATAAACCTGGTTTCCTCCATGATTCCTTTTTTTCTGACAAGAAAGAGCACTTGAATGCAATGAGCTCCTAAATTGGGTACATTTCCGATAGCACGTGAAGGCAGGATTGGTTCCCGTGCGCCTTGGTTGCTCTTCTGTGTGCTTATTTGTTTCCATAACAACCCATTGTGGTCACCTGTGTCTTGTTTAGCTCCATGTTTGGTCTATTTAAACCCTCAGTTCAGTTCTTTGTCTGGAGTCTTTAATGTTTAAGGTTGGTTGTGTTAGTTCTCCTGCGGGTTTCTTCTGCTTACAGTGCCTGTTTGTATTGTTTTTAGTTTTTATTTGTCTAATAAAGACTGACTGCTGCACATAGATCTTTCACTTGCCTTTATTGGAACCAACCCATGACAACTTTGTTATTCACTATGGCATATACACTGGAATTTATCTTGGCCACATTTGAAATCTGCTCAGTGTGCATAAATTATACAGTTACGATAAATACAATTATATAGCCTATCACATACAATATAGCCTTCACTTTACAATATACAATCCACTATTTAAAATTAATTATTTGCTATTTTCCCATCACTATAGGACTCAATCATAACGTTTCTCTTCTAGATGCTTTAATTTAAATGTTTGTGCATTGTAATGAAAATACTGTATGTAAAGGACAATTAGGAGCATTGACCTCAAGGTCAGTGGTCCTCTACTGCCTAGTTTATTTTACATAAGATTCAAAGGGCCTATCTTTTTATTTTTTTCCTAAGAAATAATTGTTCCTCCCCACAGACTCTCAAAGATGCCCCGGGATAAGGGCTAAGACTGACCATTAATCGTTCTTTCACAGGATTAACATCTGAGAACATAATAAATGTTTTACGACATACATATAAACACAAATGTCCCATATGGCTCCACCTGATCAGAGGAAGGTAATATGGGGATTTCATATGCAATCCTCTTTTCTCACAAGCACTGATACACATTCGCATTCACCCCTTTCCAGACGGGCAGCACAGACGTACATCCCCTCCCCCGTCCTGAGGTATAAGACCTCCGACAGCACTTTTACCTCACCTAATCGCTCCCCCTTCCCAGGCCCACTCAGTCTCCACCTCACACTGACCCTTCCCAATGGACGAGAGGGCACTTTGCCAGCTGAACCCTGAGAAGATTTTAGGACGGCAGAGAAGCTCAGGAGATTTGTCCATAGCCACTTTCATGTGTGTCCACGTCAGTGGTCGCTGGAGCCCCTCGTATGTGAGCCTGGATGGAGTGAGAGGCAGCTGTAGGCAGAGATGACACATGAGATCAGGCAGAGCAGCTGTAGCCACAGTCAAAGGTGTGCAGGACAGCTTTATCTGTTTCAGATGGGTAAACATACGGCCAGAAATGTCCATTCTGGTTCACCTAACAGCATTCAAGTGACTAATTTGGTCCCAGATTGATGGATGACAAGAAAAGCAGGACACACCTACATTAAAGTGTTGACCTACAAACGGTTCTCTATCAATCTATCTATCTATCAATCTATCTATCTATCTATCTATCTATCTATCTATCTATCTATCTATCTATCTATCTATCTATCTATCTATCTATCTATCTATCTATCTATCTATCTATCTATCTATCTATCTATCTATCTATATCTATCTATCTATCTCTATCTATCTATCTATCTATCTATCTATCTATCTATCTATCTATCTATCTATCTATCTATCTTTATCAGAATGTGAAATAATAATACTTCAAGAATTAAATATGACAAAAGAGTAAAGGAATGTTTATGAGCATTTTCAGGCATGCTGACACAGTGACACGAAATGTTTATCATTAAATATCAGCTTCTCTTTGTAACTTCACAAGTTTCTCACCTAGTTTCTTGGTGTAACAGACTTTTTCAAGCAAACCCATGTGTATGCAGTGTCCCAAGTGTAAAGTGTGGAAACTATGGTCTCCCTCTGTAAGCATGGACAGCTGATGGAGGGACGGGGAGGGGGTGACTGCCAGGCCTGCTTTCCTGTGGGTTTAAACAGGCCTTTCCCCACCTGTGTCACAGCACAGGACTGTGGCCTTACCTCTGCTGTACCTCCGTCCACCATCTGGAACAGTCATCGTGGGCAGGGGGCTGAACTGAGGCCAGAGCCTAGGGCCGACGACTCACAAAACAGCTTTATACGGAAATGCTGTGCACTTTGTCCAGTGGGATCAAGAAATAGTCCATTTCAGCGATGCCCAGGTGATACCTGGCCAAACACTGTGGGCCACAGCTGTGGTTAACATGTTATGCTTTAAAAAGTGCAGAGTTCTAATGTGAGAATTACCCTGGGTCCTTATGCATTTAATGAAGAGAAAAGGAAATGAGATGGAAAACCTAAATTTAAGATTTTTGTTTTTACAGTTTTTTTTTATTCGCTTTGGCACTATTTTCACTTTCAAAACTCTTAGTGGTGATATCACAACAGATCATCAAAAGTGCACTTTTTTCAAACATTTGAGCATATTTTCAATTGTGTTAGTGCAATACATAAAATCACAAAGTATCCTTTTCACAACACAAAATAAGTGTTTAATCTACATAATGTATCATTCACAGTAACTGCCTTCCATAAAGCTCTCACTATCAAACTTTTTGTTCAGTTTACTGTAATACATTTGTCTATTATTTACGTAATCCAACTGATCTGAATGGTTAATCAATGAATCATTTAGTACACCAATATATTTCTATAGATATTGATTCTATAGATAGTTTCTATAGAACTTGTTTGCACTTTCCGATATGTATAACCAAATTTTATAAAAAATGTTTACATAAGTGATTTATAGATAATAACCACTATGTTCAAAGTTGCAATTTGTGAACGTAAAGCAGTACAAAGGAGAGGAAACAGTCAATGACCTTATAACATCAGATTGATCAGAGATGCATCAGAAGGGAGACAGATGGCATCAAACACAACATTTTACACAGTATGTATGCTATGTTATACTGTAAACAGATTACCATGGTTAGAGACTGCCACATTACGGTAAGGTCAACTACTACAGTATAGATTCAGTCATATGGTATACAGTGAGAACATTTACTGTATTGCCAGCAAACTCTGTTCTAGCACAAAACCTCATGGCATAACACACAAGATACTATTACAAACAAGTGTGATCAGTTTGGATTTTTGTACTAAGAGTTTTGAAAATGTATACATACACCTTACTTGTGAAAATAGTACCAAAGCGATTTTTTTTTTTAAATAAGAGAATCATGCATATGCTATTTGACAGATATTTACATGATTTCCACTCACTTTATCCTTAAGGGCAGAACTAAATAATAATAATACAAATAAAATATATTAAATATACTATACAGTATTGGGGATTACTAAGCACCTATAAAATCGTGTACTGTCATTTAGTGTTATGAATTTTCACTTTATTTTCTCTGAGCTATCTTTTACAAACATGTAAGGAGAATAAATAAATAAGATTAGAAACTTGTCCTCATAGCAACAAATTATTTCAATCTTCTCAGTTTATGAGTTGCAGTTCCAACTCTGACCACAAGGCCGTAGTGGGAAGTGTTTTGTGTAAAAGGGACATTTGTTTCAATAGGTCCAGAAGACACATGCAACTCTATCAGATTTTAGCTCTACTTGTTTCAGTACAATAATAAAAGGCAGTTTATAGTTCTTGAATAGTTATTGAAATAACTATTATAATTTTCCTTGGTATCAGATTTATGGCTCACCCTGTTCACAAAAATAGCATAAAATACAAAAACATAAGTACTGGTTTGTCAATACAATTCATAGTCAACAGGATCTTTTTTATGCACCATTAAAATCTTAGCATTAGAACTTAGATATCATTTTAATTTAGACTGATTTCCTAATAAATCATTCATTACGTTTCCTTGCACATGGACCTCTTAAGATCTTTATTCAGATCAGTGTTATTTTAGTATTATATATAGCCTATTATATTATTTGTCATGTAACATTTTGGATTTTCTTTTTTTTTTCTTTTTTTTCAGTTTAGGTTTTTAGCAATTATATTACTAAAACTTTTGTAATTAGTTTTATCTAATATTTCTATTTAGCTTTACATCTATATTTATATATAGGCCTATTTTACTTTTAGTAAATTATTTTATTTCAGGTAGCTGCCAAGGCAACATTTATAATTTTATTTTTCATTTGATTCAGCTTTATTTCAATAAACGAAACTATTTGTATTAGTTTTAGTTTCCTTGACAATAACATCGATAATATATCTGCACAAGTTCAGTATATAGCTCATTAATTAAATAGGCTATTTGACATATTTAAGCATATCTAGAAATGTATATTCAGAAAAACCCTTTATTTTATTATCTGATTGCTTGCATTAATTCTCACGATTTTTACCAGATAAATTCCTGTTATTTCCTGGTTTCCCCTGACAGTGGGAATCTTGTTAATTCCAAAAGAATTCCCCTCCGCGCAGAGCGCTACAGAAGAGGCGCATCTCCTGTAAACACAGCGGCTCTCGCGAGATTTCCTCGCGCCGCGCATCACACGCAGGAGCGTCTATGGAGCAGTGAGAGCGGGCGGGAGACGGACCAACCGAACCTGGCGCGGACTGTAGCAGGAGACACGGGGTGAGAGAGGGTAACCTGCCTGTGTCGTCTTTGCGGTGTGTCTGAGCGCGGTCCCCGGGGTAAGGAACTATCGCAGCCTGTCCATCATACAACCCCTCCTTTCGAGACAACTCTAGTAGTGACCACTTGAGTCTGTGCTCTCTCTGTAGGCGTGCTTCTCCGATTATCCCATCCATCCATCCATGCTCCATTCGAGCATTTAAGGAGGACGCGCACGTACTCAGGGAGGGGAGGGAAGCCCACTGGTCTCCCTACAGACTCCAGCGCCAGGTAAAAAACCCGCTATGACTGTAATACGAATGTTAAATGCCACATTTAACGGAGCGCGTGGCTGCCTGTGACGCAGCGTCGGTTCATTACAGTCTGGGAACATTCAGTTCATAAACTGTTGATGCTGCGGTGTGGAGGCTGTGAAGCAGGGGAATGAGCTCTGCTTTTGGCCTAGCGTGTTTTATGCAAAATTCCCACTTTTATCTACCGAGACAATCACACATTCCATTGGCAAATTAATTTTAGTAACTGAAAAAGACTCGGCATAACAGAATCTCTGTACAAGTCACGATTGACGAGCACTGTTATTCTTTTTAGCCAGCTTATTCATTGCTTTTGAGGTAACAGATTCGCAACTGACAGATCAAGACACTGACAATTGGCCAGAAGGTTGTAGCTGAGGTCGTGGGTATTACACGAACTTCCACGAAGTGGAAATCCAATTTCCCTCATTGGCTTTAATGCTGATGTTTGTAGGCTAGACGTCACGCCCTCTTGTTTACATTACATTGACACCTCCCTCAGACTCCAGCATATCTGTGAAGGACCATTTGAATGTGGGATTGTGCTGCTGATGCTTAACATTACTGATTATTCCAAACACATTTAAGCAAGTCTTGCACTGCGTCATACTGCTAATTTACTCATTAAGATTACCTGTATTTTATTATTGGTTTTGTGGCCGACCTGTCTGTCTCGGTTAGATTTTTGGTTTCAGTCTTTTGTCACAATAGTGTCATTTGGCCTTATTTATCCTATTTAGGTGTACATTAATGCCCCATCATATGTCATTTAGATCTGAAACGTTCATGAACAGATGAAATCTCTGTCGGTTCAAGTTGAGATGAAATTACTGGTTTACAAACACAGCTTGGCGGCAACACTTCCGGATTCTTCAGACACCCTGAAAAGAGCTGTTTTAGATTAGTGCTTCACTCAGATTGAGTTTAAAATGAACAAGAGTGCTGCGTGTGGTGTCGCATATTGCACATCTGCTGGCTGTTTTTATCTTTCACTTTTATATGAAACATTTTTCAGGTTTTAAAAGAGTTGTGTTACACATTTAAGGGTGTGTATTCAACAACCTGTTACATATCCGACATATTCAAATGCTGAATAAAGTGAAAACTGATCATATTTCTTTACTTTAACCACAAGTATCACTTTATAATTTGCTTTATAATTTAATTCCGAACAGGTATTTAGAAAGTTTGCTTGTCTGAAGAACCCAAAAGCATTGCTTGTTGTGCGGCATAACATTTCCATTTATACGTGCGTTGACTGAATCTTTGAATGTCCTGTAAGCTTTATTAATGGAAGAATTATTTTTAAGAAAGTCTTTAAGTAGGCCTAGATTATATAAAACAAGAGCAAAAGACATTATTAAATTGACCTCACATTAAGTGCTCTCCAGCTCTATGGAGAGAACGAGTAAAAGCACTCCTGAATAATGGCTGCAGCAGATTAGCAAAGGTCCTCAGAGTCCTCAGACATCCACATCCGCCAGTATTCATTCACAAATGTCTCGTTTCCTCTTCTTAGGTTTTAGATAGACCACAGCGTCTTCTCAGTTTCTGTTACAGTGTTTGCGGCTGCAGCATTGGTGTGTGTGACTGCAGAGAAATCTTTCATTATTCATGTCTCTCTCGTGGCAACATACAACGCTTTCATTTTGCATACAAAGAATCCTTAACAGCAGTGATATACAGTCCTGTCCACATCAATGTGATAATATTCCTGTGAATGTGGCGGCATGCTGCTAGTTTTAAATACACGTTCAGATTAGGATATTTGCCGTGCTTGATAATTCTTGTGGTCCATCACAATCTTTGCACGTTAAAGTGCTGATGGTGCAAACCAAAGCCACATTACGAATTTGCTCTTTACTTGCAGCCAAAAGAAGATTCAGGAAAAATAATATTAGAAGGGCTTGTAAACAACTTATTTTGAACGACACTTTTGTTGGGGACTTGTGATGGGAGCTCACAGATTTCCTTTGCTTCAGGGTAACATTAGCACCGATTACTGAAATTGAAAGTGTTGGCTGGATTTCACCTTCAGCGGTTCTTCTCTGATTACTTGAAGAGAAAATATCCATCAGTTGCAAACTCTTTCAGGGGACGTTAGAAACTTTGGAGGGTGTCAGTTTGTGTTCCAAGTAGATATCTATCTTTTCACCAGAATAATTTAAAGACGCAGTGCCTGGAGTTTTCTTGCACCTTTTCATAACATCATGAAATGCAGTTTGTCATCTGTAAGCTTTTTTCAAAAACGTTTTAAAAATTTCTGCTCACCAAGGCTGAATTTATTTGATCAAAAATACAGTAAAACAGTAATATTGTGAAATATTAGTACAATTTCAAATAACTTTTCTGTTTTATTATAATTTCTTCTTTTGATGACAAAAAGTAATTTTCAGCAGCCATTACTCCAGTCTTCGGTGTCACATGATCCTTCAGAAATCATTCTAATATGCTGATTTAATGCTCAAGAAACATTTCTTATTATTTCCAATGTTGTAAACAGTTGTGCTGCTTAATATTTTTGTGAAAACTGACATATTTTTTCATGATTCTTTGGTTAAAGTAAAAGTTGAAAGGAACAGCATTTATTTGAAATAAAAGTATATGTGTAACATTTGTCATGTCTTTACTGTCACTTTTGATCAATTTAATGCGTCCTTGCTGAGTGAATGTATTAAATTCTCATATTAAATGTATTAAATTCTATATATATATATATAAATATATTTCACCACAGGAGTCCATCTGTTACCATAAGCAGTCACATTGTTCTTTTTCTAACAATTTAGGATGATTCTACCATGAAAATGTGGGATTATTTTCCTTTTCCATTTGGTTCATTAAACTAATGGGTGTTGTGACAATGCACTCGAGAATAGTTCGATGTAAATAAATGTAGATTCTGCATTGAAGGCTTGTGGCGGATGTTTAGATGTTGCTCCGTGGCACGCTGAGAATGATTGATGCTGCGTGTCTGAGTTTGTCTGGGCTCACCAGGAGAGCCCCTCCTTCCCAGGCCTGCTCAGGAATTAAATGATTATCTCAAGGGTGCTCCCCTCATTTGTATGGAAAAATTGTATTTGGTGTGGCAGCTTCGGGACATCCCCAGATATTGCTGCGGCGATAGGCTTGCAGATGCTTGGCTGCGACAGTGACGCAGTGGAATTGTGTGTCCTGTCACTCAAAGGGAGCAAAAGGAAAAGAGAGTTTGTGCTGCTGCCAGAATAAACGATGTTGAGGATTGGTTTGTAAAGTAGAATATCCCAAGTACAGACCCATTGAAAATGACAATGGTCCTCACGCTTGGTGTCTTTTTCTGTATCTGGACATTTTATAGCCTCTGAGGCAACTTGGTGCAGACTTGTAGATTAAGTTTGTGGATGGTTCTGTATTTCCCACATGTATTTTATTTTTCAGGTTAAAGTGTTAGTTCACCCTAAAATGAAAATGCTGTGATTAATTACCCTCATGTCGTTCCAAACCCGTAAGACTTTAGTTCATCTTCGGAACATGCATGTAGATATTTTTAATAAAACCTGAGCCAGTTCTTTACTCTCCATTGACAGCTACACAACTACCACTTTGACGCTTCAAAGTTCATAAAGAGTTTGTATAACTAATCCATATGAATTGATTGGTTTAGTCCAGATTTTCTAAAGAGACATGATCGTATAATGAACAGATTGACTTTAGCCTTTTATTCACATAAACATTACTCAGTGAACGTCGTGAACAGAAGCTCAACCGAACTTGCTTGACGCTGTGGTGGAAATTTTAAACTATATATTAAACTAACCATGTTAGACTAACATCTAACCTTATTTAACATCTAACATTTGAACATAATGTACTGTTCGAAAACTGTGTGTATAAATAACAAATATGGGAAATGAAACTAGACTAAGTCTAAACTCGTTGTCAACATAACTCATTGGAAATCCAAAAAAACTTCCACACCTGCGACTTCAATGAAAGAGGAGGGGGTTCAAGTTCTGTCAATGGGTCTCCTGCATCTGCAGTTGCCATGCTATCTTTTGAATGGCTGTAGCTAAGTTAGAGGAGGTTGACCATAGACTCGCAGCACTTCAACACGCGTGTTTTTTTTCCGCTTGGGACGCCGACCGGACGTGACATGGGGGCGTGGCAGCATCGACGATTAATTAGAAGTTCAAGATTGTGAACTAATTTCGGTCGATTTCGATTTAAAATCGTTATTTTCAGGTGTCAGGGACACCAGGTTCAACCTGAGTCAGGTGCGTAGGGGAAAAATCTACCACAACGCGCAAGAACAAACCTCTTGTGGAAGCTCAAACGTGCTGTTAAACACGAGAATGAACCTCATTGGGTCTCGCATGTCAAGCGAACATGCTTGAGTTTCCATTTATCATAACTGATGTGTGCACACTGCGTTGATGAATGATTATGTGAATAAAAGCCTAAATTAAATTGTTCAGCGTATTAAGCGATTGTGTCTCTTCAGAAAATTTGGACTAAACCGCTCAAATCATATGTATTAGTTTTAGGATCTTTAAGAACTCTTTTTAAGCGTCAAAAGTGGTTGCGTAGCTGTCAATGGAGGGGAAGAAATTGTTCATATTTTATTACAAATATCTTAATTTGTGTTCTGAAGATGAATGAAAGTCTTACGGGTTTTGGAATGACATGAGGTTGAGTAAATGAGGACATACTTACTCTTTAAATGGGCATCACTGCATTCTATATCAGACCTTTTATATATCTCTTAAAATCTTATATTGATATATTTTGCCAGAAATGATTATGTGAATATATAAATGAATATTGAATAATGAATATTATAACTCCAATGAAGGCTGCATAACATACATTTCCTGTATCAAACAGATACTGTCTACTCCACAATAACAGCAGAACTGGTTCTTGAAGTCTCATTTACCTCAGTGCTTATTGGGAAGGGGTTGGAAGGGATTGCTGATATATGAGTGAGGATGCTCGACTAGGGAGTTTAATAATTTTTAGTGGTGGTTTTTAAATGGAGAAACAATTGTTAAATTATTGAGAGATTTGTGTTGTACTTTAACAACAACACACTCATTATCTCATTTAGTCTCTTAATTAGTTTGATTTACAGCACCACCACTACAATCATCAAGGATGTGCTTGCTTGTGTACATATTCACCACCTTCAAAAGTATATTCTAAGACATTTGCTGTCTCACTTCAGGTTGCCTGCTGTTAGCAGTGTTTCCGTTGTTATGCATAACCCACAGGTTTATTGGTAAGGTATGACTGAGGTGAGATTAAAGTCAGTGACTGGTTCTTTATGGTTTGGTTCTCACTCGAGTGTCTTGTAGGAAAACTAATCAGACAGATGACTGCAAAATAGTTGCAGTGGAAAAAGACTCAAACTGCAGAACGCCATGAACTAAATATTGTGATTGTTATTAAAGTTGTAGTCGTAATGACACTGACTCAGGGCTTCTACAGTAGTATATCATTGCCTAATCTTCTCTGATCTCAAGGTAGGTTTGATGGAAAGGTTTAAACATTAACGTTAAAAAATCTATTTCTCTAAAGAGAAAATGAATGGGATTTTTACTTACGAAGTTGTAATGTTGTGGCATGTGGTGTCTTCCAGGGTTGTGTGACTCACGTACAGGGTTTCACTGATATCTCTTTGGACATTGAATCACGTACTCTCCTTACAATGCTAACAGATAAGCATTTAGCTAGCAGCTAAATGCACACAACCAGAATTATCAGTTGGTACTGTGAATACTCTGGCCTCAATAGGCCAAATATTCCTAAATATTCTATAATTATAATATAAAAATGTAAAATATTCCTTGCCTGGCCCACATTTCTTTTGCTGTAAAGTATTTATATTATAAGTTAGCCCTGCAGGCGCTGTCTTTTGTTGGCCCTGTGACATTAAGGACACTGCGTGGTCTCCATATCTTTAGGGGCTGCAGTGTATCTAGTAGCTGTGATGCCCTCTGTCATTATATCCAAAAGTCTGGGACAAAACATGATTTGTTAATTATATCCAAAGGGAAAATAAGAGCCTTTGTGTCATTTGTCTTTCTGTTAGAGGACACAACACATGCATCCCAATTGTGCATTCAGATTTCTGTTTATCACGCTTCACACTCAGTGGTGACAAACGTGTTCAGTAATTTCTTTCTGTTTTCTTAGTTAGAGGATGGTTGTCATGTGTTTCCCCAGTTTCTGAGTTCAGTTAAAGGCTCATGGTTTTCCTCTTTGACTCACTCTGTCTGAGCTCATCTGTTTAGCTGTTGGAGGTTTACTCTTGTTTGTTCTCCTAAAAGGTTGACTTCCCTTTTCTCTACTCGCACACATTTGAATGCTTGGATTTGACGCGTATGATTGCTTCTGAAAAATCAAAACATTTTGATTAACTAACTAATGTACCTTTAGCATTTTAAATATTTCCTTGTAAGGAAATATAGACAAATATCTCCTCAGAAATCCCATATTTCATGCAGTAGATTTATTTGATTGACTTCTCACTCTGTCAGAGGGACATATTTTGCTTGGTTGTATTTTTTTGTGTTTTTTATGTGTTTGAGACTGTTAGGACATATTAGGACTAATTTGGGGTATTCACATTATAAGTGTAGTTAATTTGTTCCTTCTGTTTTAAACAGAAAATGCATCTATGGATGTGTCCTCATCTTGGATGATTGTAAGTGTTGGCATTCTGCCACATTTATCAGTCGCGTATTTTGAAGTCTTTTTCCTCATTCTAAAAATCATTAAGCTATCACGTTTTTTTCAATCTGATATCAGATCTGATATAAATTTCAGTTGTACCTCATTAGCAACTTCTTAACTCTTTCCCTGCCAGCGTATTTTTTACATTTTCACAAAATTTCATTGCCCCCAGAATATTTTGTTGTATCTGAACATGCAATGCATCAATTATTTTATATTATTTATATATTCTTTAAAAAATTTTTTTTTGCATAATGCATCATACATTCTTTTTTTTTAATCAACACCTGAATGTGGGTAAGTTTCATAACAAAAGCAACATTTTGAACAAAAGGTTGAGAAAATCAATTCTGCTTCTTTTTCTGTACTCTTTCAGAGTTGCATAATAGTACCCTATACCACAGGGGTGGGGAACGTCCGGCCCCCGGGCCGTAACCGGCCCGCAAAACAGTTTGATGCGGCCCGCGAGTCAAATCCTCCAAAAAAAAAAAAAAAGAACTTCAGAACCAAAAATCTCAGCCATTACCTTTCCTGTGACAGAAAACACAAAATAGGCAAAGCGGCAAGCAGGGCGAGGCCAGTACCGCGAGTCACACCTGCGCACCGGTTTCAGTTTCTCACGGATGAGCTTCGGGGGCGCGCGCGCCGCACCGGTTTCAAGTTTCTCACCGCGCCCCGCACCGGTTTCAAGTTTCTCACTGATCAGCTTCGGGGCGCGTAAAAGGATCGGAACGAAGACAGCGGAGGACCAGGCATGGACTTTACTTTATGTGTGTGTGGTCGTCGTCCACGAGGAGCTACTGCTTTTACTTTCGTTTTGTCATTTGCGTATTAATGTATTCAAGTGGTTTAAACGTTTGCCGGTTCCCGGTTTGTGTGCTTTTATCCACCTCTAAATAGCTATAAATTAAGCTTATGTCGTTTTAGTTTCATATTGTTAATTATTAGTTTCATAGGTTGTTAAACCTAAGACGAACTCTTCATATTGCGCTGCATTACTGTCAGTGTTGTTGACTATTACTGACGGTTGAGCTGTTGACGCTCGCGCAGCCTCTCGAGCAGAAATCTACACTAAGCGCACACACACACTCAGTTAACAACATACTGCCTATAAAAAATCTAAATGTGGAGTTTTTATATTTTTAACATATGTTAAGCAACCTCAATTATTTTTCCTGAACACCATCACGATTGAAAATGTGACATTAATTTCCAACAACAGTTCAATAAACAGTTAAAATTAAGTCACTTACATTTTAGATGCAATATTGGCTGTTTTTGTTCTGTTTCAGCAGAGAAAATAGTTACAAACAAAAATCACAGCAGAACCACGGCGCATCTCACAGGAACACTCACTGTTTTCATTACTGAATGATTCAGCGTTTTGAACGAATCGATTGAGTCAAAGATTCAATGACCCATTCATAAACATCTGTCTCAATCTTGAATGAATCAGCCGTTTGAACAAATCGTTTGAATCATGAATGAATCAATGACTCACTCATTAAGACGGTCGCCTGCCGCCACCTACTGGCGGTTTGTGTTATGTTTAAAAGTAGATCATTCTTTCCAACGTTTCTAATTTGTAAATTTAAATCTATTTCATAACATTATTTTATGCAATTGTAATTTTTCAGTGTAAATGATTTAATTTGATCAGCCCTATAGTGTCTTATTATTCGAAATAATTTAATTTATTGATCAAATTTAGGAATTTAAAATGAAAGATGAAGCATACATTTAATAATATTGGGGGAGGGGATGCCCTTTAAAGGTGCAGATATTACAATATGCCGATTTAAATATCAAAGCTGATTGAACACTGATGAGAATATTGTTTCAGAATAAAAGTAAAATTTTTTTTAAAAAATTCGGACGAGAAACTTTTTTGACAAGCGTATGAAAGGCTTAATCTCGAGCCCTGCCTATAGCAATGTCATCAGGATACACATACACCGGCGGTAGGCAGTGGCCCACCTTACCTGGTGACCATGTCGTGGTCCACCAGAATTTATAGTTTACCCACCTCTTTTTTTACCACTAAACCTCTGAATAAAACGTACGAGTCCCAGTCACGCCGAACCTCTCTTCTTCCTTCCAAACACTGAAGACTGAACCTCATTACAATGGCCCTTAAAGAATGTTTAAAAATTGTAAATGGCCCTTGATAGGAAAAAGGTTCCCCATCCCTGCTCTACCATATAACGGTGAAATCACGAAAAAGCCAGAAAATTCCGTCAATGGTGGAGAAAGATTTGTCATGTTAGGTGAAAACAAAAACAATGAAAATAATACCTTTTTTTTTTTTTTTTTTTTTTTTGGTGGGGCCAGTTAAGCCAGAGTTTACTTGGCAGGGCAAGTAAAAATATGCACCACTGGCCCAACCGAGACAGTTAAAGAAGTCCTCAGTGTTGAGCCCTGTATTTGATAAATGAATCCGCACACTTGTCTTTCATAGTGCTTAATTCACTCCTTGGCAGCCACTGCATTTACCATGGGACTTCCTGTTTGCTTATTTATTCTCACAGTCGTCCTCATCAGACTTTGTTGCAAGTGACTGTGTTGCTGGTAAGTGTTAAACAGTTGTGCATGTCGAGAGTGAGAATGAGAGAGAAAAACAGACAGACAGGGAAATCAGAGAGGCAACAGGGGGCTTGTACGTCTGCTTTTACAATGACTGTCTGTCAGATTGTGTAAGAAGAGGGGAGTTAGGAGGAAGAGAAGAGTGAAAAATCCACACGCTTCTTTTTTTATGTTTCTTCCAGGCTGAGTCACTATCGAGGAGTGGGAAGATCTAGAGAGACAGAGGGAGACGGCATCACGGAGAGCACAAGAGAGAAAAGCAACGGAAGGAGGGGAAAACCGCTACACAACGCCTTTGAGAGCGAAGCGAGAGAGAGAGGCAGCCAACGAGAACGACGTAAAGAGAGAGACAGAGCGCAGCAGTGAGGGAGGGAGAGAGACGCTGAGGCTGGGAGAGCTGACCCCCCTCCCTTCTCCTCTCCTCTCCTGTCCTCTCCTCTCCTCCTTCCCCCCCCTCCTCACTCCTTCAGGAGCTGGTGTGTAGGAGCGGCGAGTACAGTGTGACTGAGGCAACATGAGCGATGTCACCATCGTTAAGGAAGGCTGGGTCCAGAAGAGAGGTAAGTAGCTTGTCTCTGCCTGCGTCTTGGTCAACTAGCCGGGTCGAGAAAGACCTTGCGTACGCGTGTGCCTCCATGGACGGCTCCCTCCGTCATGGGCGGGCCACGGCGTGGCTTTAGTCTGTGTCTGTGGAAGCCGGCGTGTGGGTGTGCCTCTTTGCGCGCGTGTTCGAGAGCTGTGTTTAGTGCTAGTGTGGCGCTTCAGAGAACGTGCATGCGTGTTTGAGTGTGTCTGCCGGAGGAGCAACTGCATTCAGACTGGTATCCATCATTTCTCACTGCACTGCTCTGACGTGTCGGGCTGCTACGTTTGACGGGTTTTCTACAAATGCTTGCACTCATTCTGATGCATAATGCTCTGTTTTGATTAGATTATGGTTTGATGATTTTATTTGATCATTATGTCTGGAAAACAAGTTATCTTTTAGCCTTTTTTGGTTAGTATGGACTGCAAGGGCTGTTGTGTACAATTAAGCGCACTCAAAGTTATTATAAGTCAAAGTTATTTGACATCCATATGGGAAGCCGCTCTAGGTGTCATCATGGGACGTAGTGACTAGGGTACTTCATTCAGGTTGTCTTGCTTTTCCTTTCTGTATCATTGTTGCTTGTTGAGGCATTCAAGTGCCTCTATGCTTGTACCTTCCCTATATGTGTATCCATAAGTGTGCATACTTAGTAAAGAGGCGTTCATGCTGACAGAAATGTGCAGCGACCAAAAGTCACTCGTTTTCAATGAAAGTTGGTGATTTGGCGACACAAGTGATTGTGAAAATGTAACTTTATGCAAATGAGCAGTGATTAGCAATGTGAGTGTAGTTTGTTTACATGCACTTTAAAAGTTTTATTTCAGTCAGACTAAAGTGATAATTTTACATATTACAATGTCATGTAAATGCTTTACAACTATAAAGTCTAAGCATTCAAGTGGAAAGAAGTTGCATATGGGCAGGTGAGATTGTCTGATTTTTCCCCCCCAATACTGTAGATAAGCGATGTGCATGATATGATAATGATAACGATATGATGTCCATACGTATGGGATATATCGTCATACCGGTATACCATTACAACCCTACTTCAAATATTTGATTACTAATTTATTACTTCATGATAGCAGGCTATATATTAGACAAACAGGTGAACACCGTAGCTTGACTACACAAAATCGCTCTTGATTATAACTAAATAAATGCAAAGTTCATGGGATCCAACACCTGATACAGCAGTCAAGTAGGACGTAGGAGAGCCTACTAGTACAACAATTTAACCAATGTCATTGTTAAATGCCCTTAACTCTGGATGTTTATGCTACAGTGGACCTGAATTCCCGCACCCCTGATTGGATGAGCGGCCATTGGTCTGACATGCTTGAGCTTATTAGGATGTGTTCATGTATGGGCGGACTCAGTTACTTTAGTCACCAGTTTAGTGAATAGGTTATTATTAGGGCTGTGAATAGAGTAACATTTTTGATCGCAATTAATCGCACCCTTTTGACCGATTAATCGCACACTCATTGTGAAATTAAGCATACACATCTGGTTTAACATGTTCATTTTGTTGTCATTTGCTATATCCAGCTAAGTAAGCCATCAGATTGAAAGACTATTCTCACAAAACTGTATTTTCTGCAAGCTTTTTTCAAGGTAAATTTAGCTGTCTTTCCAAAAAAGGACACTTGGAGACTCCAAAAGAACACCAAATAACCCAATGTTATAAGTAGTCCATATAATTGATAAATATATGCACCCATGAAAAAACCAACAAACAATAAATAAAAAAACATTACAGAACAAAACTTTTCAGAATTCACAATGTATACTAGTATGTGTACAATGCAACAATGCAAGAGCTTGTTTACATTTTAGACAAGTCAAGTTGCAACAGGACCACATGGAGATGTCAAAAAACCCCTTAACCAACTGCCTTGACCCGACTGCATATACCTCTTACAGTGCACGTATCCATTCAGAATGACTAAACACAGCAACATACACATGACAAATCAAAACATTATCCTGAATGTGTGTGGAAACAATGTGAATGTACTGAAATGTGTCTGTGCATAAATACAATGTACGATCCGTGCATTGAGAGCGCACATACATGGTCTGTTTGCGAATCAATTATAACAGACTCACACATGCTTACTCTATGACTCCTGTACGTCACATCATCTTTACCTTATTGCAATCTTCATCCATCAAAACTTCACTAGCGAGGCGCTGATTTGCTTAATCCAGCCGAGAAACGTATCTTGCCTATCATCTGGCCATACAGCGCTGAGATGTTGTGACGTTCCGTTCAGTCTGTATTTCTCACAGCGCGATGCGTGAGGGCTCACGCTCTTCAGAAGCAATCACAGAATATGACAGCTCGTGTTTTAAAAGATAAACACACAGTGGAATGAATAATTCACTGAAAACGCAACATGAGTCTCTATTCTCTCTGCCATCCATCTCTGATGTGATCAGGCTGGTTGGTTTTCTTTACATTAACGCTGTTTTGGACTGATTGTTTGATTGAATTTGCATACTGGATCATTGGACTGAAACTTTTCTGGAGTGTAGCGGCTTTGTAGAAGCTCTCGACTTCTAAAGTGATCTAACTCAGTCATTTATTTTTGTTAAATTATTTTAACAAAATCCTCAACTATAAATAATTATATATAAATTATATATATATTTATAAAACTTGCCCCCAAACCAACAGCAAAACATTGATCTGTTTTGTTGAGGATATTATTGAGGACATTTGTAAGATAAAAAGTATTTAAAGTGCTCAATAATTTTGTATTAATGTTGCACTGGTTGATATGACTACAGCTGGTGTGGATTCAGCATCATGAGGTTTCTGAGATGTAACTGAGATAGAAATGTCTTAAGTACCCATGAGGCTCCATGTAAGTGTTAATCTCATTTTAAATATCTATTTTAAAAATACTACAAATAATATTAAAAATTACTATTAATTTAAATAGTGTTTTTAAAAAAGGAAAACTTCAGTGCTCATTTAGTATTATTTATATACTGTTATAGCTTTTATTTTTATATTTTCAGTTTTCATTTTAATTTTAGTAATATTGTAATGTGCAGTAATTTTTATTAGTTTTTATTTAAATATAATATTTACCTTTAATTTATATGTGATTTTAGTACATCACCTTTTATCAACTAACCATTTTATTTCAGTTAGTTATCAAGGCAACATTTTCTAATTTTCATTTAAAGGGACAATGATATGAACAATAACAATTTCCTTCATCTTTAAACATGTAAGAGGACTTTGTACCATTGAAACATCCTGCAAGTTTCATAGCTTAAAACGCCCTAATTATAAACAAAGCTTCTATTTAAGTTTAAAAAATGTCTCGTTTTCATATTGTGGGATCTGTGATGTCACACGGGCAAATATATTTGGCGAAAAATGAAACATCATTCCATAGGCCCCGCCCACTGGCATTCAGTCACTTAACGTCTGACATTTGCACTGTTTGTGAGTGACACGTCGTGTCACTTCAAAAGCAAATAGAACCTATTATAATCACTGACGCTGTCTACACTGGATGCAGATGCGCATTCAGTTTCTGACATACTCCACGCAAAACAAGCGGATTATATCGGAGCATTTTGTTTTGTAAACAAGGCACAGTATAATGTAGAGTTTGCAAAGACACTTTTGTTGAAAGATGAAGCAGACAACTGTTTTGAATGAACCAGCCAGCTGCATCACAAACATGTAAGTAAATGATTTCATAATGCTTTTTCTGTAAATGATGGGTTTAAATGGATAATGGTTTCAAAACACTAATCCACGTGCAATGGCGATTGTTGATACTGTTATGACGTTAGCCAATCATAACAGTGGCCGTTCACTGACAAGCCTAAAAGGAGCTGTCCATTTAAAAATGGATTTTTCTAGACAGGGTATAAATATATAGGTATACAATATATTTCTACACACACACACACACACACACACACACACACACACACACACACACACACACACACACACACACACACACAC